AAAAAAAAATTACCTGCAATGGAATTGCAAAAAGCGACCCTGAACTTTCTCTTCTTGGGTCCTTGGCTCTTCCTCTCAGTCCAGTGCTCCCATGGGAAGCCGCTTGCTGTGCCGCTGCGTCCATTGACACAGACAGCGGGACTCAGCTTTGCTGCCTCTTCACTGGGTTTGATTGACATCACTGGGAGCCAATGGCTCCTGGCGCCAGAGCAAAGCAAGTGAGACATGGAAGTGAAGCGACATGCAGATATGCACAGCGCTGGATCAAATGAGGGCTCAGGTAAGTGTAAGGGGGGGAAGGGGTGTGTGAGGGGCCAAAATCGATGCCTAAACATTTTTCACATTAATACAAGGAATGCATTAAGGTAAAAAATGTTTAGGCTTCAGAACCACTGAATAAAGTGAAGCTCTGCTGCCTTCCATCAACCAATCAAGTGCAAACATAAAATGCTGTTTTTTAAAAATGTTCTCTTCCCTTGAAGGGTTCAACTTCACTTGCAAAGTGAACAGTGTATTTGCCTTTAGTAAATCAACCTCATTAAGTATTGAAATCAGGATCTGGATAACAGAATCTGCTCCTTTAGAATCATATCAGCAATAAAAGAATCATAATTTCTATGCTCAGAGGTTCTCTTTAAATACCTTTATGTCTCTTTTCAGGAGCTGAATGTCACAAAATCTGTTGAAAAAAAAATTCAAATAAAAAATGTAAATATATTCTACTGTGTCCCGGGCAAGCTAGCTAAGCATTATGGGAAATCAAGTTCAACTGAAGTGGCAGAATTTGCACATTTTCTAAAATATTAATGATTTTCAACTCTAGTAAAAAGAATACTAAAACCATAAATAGATATTGATGCTCCTGGCATTTCAGTGCAAGCAACAAAACAGGAAATTATCTAACTTTTTTCTTTTTAGTTAAAAACCTGTAAGGACTGCTAATCCAAACCCACGGACACAGCTTTTGTGTTTTATTGATGAAAACCTTCAAACAGAAGTAGGAGGACATTATTATAGGCTGATTTAGCTGCTGTGCTGAAAAGATTCTAAACAGCATAAAGTAATTCTATTATAATTTGTAAACTAAATTCTTTGCTGCAAATCTCAGATTAAATTAGAAGTCAGCTATTTTCCTAATATTTGTATGATATATATTTCTGTCTTGTTATATGAAGGTTTAGTAAAACAGTAAAAAACTATTTACAGGAGTAACTGTGTTTTGCATATTGTTCTTCTTTGATAAAATCAATTGAGTACTCAATAAGATGACATACGTAGACATAAAACGACAGAGACTCATCTTGTTTTCATAGGAGGCCCTCAATACCTTCTACTACTATTTGTCTGATGGAATAGAATGAGATAAATGGTAATGACAGCGTTTTTCATTATGGCCTCCCCATCTCCCTTCTCCACTTACATAACTATTTTTTTGGTTGTATCAGGAAGGTACAGTTTATCACTTTAGACAATTCATTTTATTTATGAAAGTTTGGTGAGGAGTGCTTAAAGTGTTACTAAACCCATGACCCCACATTCACTATATTTGGGCTCCCACAGTACAAAGAACATGGAAATGCAATTATTTTGGTAAATATAAACTGCTAAATATCTGAGCCTCTGTCTGCACTCTCCCAAAAAAAAACTCTCTAGCAGTGCACACCAAACTGATCATGTGTAGCTTTCCCAAGGCTCTTTTCTATCAGGAGATGGACTGGGAACTGTGGAAGAAGGGGAGGACCAGAGAAGACAGGATCAAACATTTTTTTTTATACAATGCGAGGATTAACCCCTTAGCTGCCACAGTGAGTATAACAAGCATGCTTTACTGCATATACAGACTGATTTTATTGTTGTGGGATTAGTAACACTTTAATACAAAGCTGATGGCTGATTTGTTATTTGTTTTAAGTATTTATTGGTTAGGAGAATAATATACAGCCTTTACATTTTGGTAGATGTGGATTTTCTTCATCTTGGGTAGAATGTTGTAGTTTGACTCACACTGTGCACCTGTAGAGACTGGCGTGTAGGTATGGGTAGCTGAGTTGACAGCTTCCAGTGCCAGCAATATTGATGTTCTGTACTAGGAGCTCCTGATCACATACCCACATATTGATTGTGTGATGAATTACATCCTCACCACTAATACCAGAGGTTGAGCAGCCTAGGACCACAACACAACCCTACACATCACCCTTCTTGCTTGGGTTCATCCCAAACAAGACAAACAATCAAGTGAGCAAATCTCAACTATCATCTATCCAGGGCTATAGCACAACTAATAGATCTAAATTAGTTTACCAGCATAAAAAAAAAGTTTAATTAACCCCAGAGGAGCCACTATACTGTCTGCAGACACACCTCCCTCACCCAGCACTTACTGACACACCTTGATATAGTTCAAAGAATTCACTAGGCCAAGCATAGCCTAAATGAAGAGAGGATTTTAAGAGTGTAAGAGTAAGAGTGTACTTATGCAAATAGTCAATAAGACAATAATGTTACTCTGAGAGAACTGAATTGCTTTTTCCTAGCAACGGTGTATGAAGACAGTCCTAACTTGTTATAACAGTCCATGTTTTATCCCACTGACCGGTAAATGAAAACAAAAAAATGTTGTCTGGCAAAGTTGGGGCCCTTGAAGATAGTATAATAGTTTTCATCAGACAACAGATTAACTTGTGTAATGTTAGTCTCTTACCAAGCCCAGGATGCCCTCTCCTGGGTTTCAGGACATGTGCTTGGATTCAGTTCAAGGCTTCACATAGAAATAGGAGTTGCTGTGATTTCTCTTTTTCAGTTCTACTGAGACAGTCACACTTTTTACAAGCAATGGGAGTGCTCTTTAGTACATTTTAATCTCACCAGGCATCCAAATCACACCTCATACCTTCCCAGGGAGAAAGTTCCCATCTCTGAGAAAAGGTCCAAGGTTTCAGTCTCTCTGAGACCGCATTAAATTGTGTTCAGCTATGGAAGGTTCCATTCAGTCCAGTCCAGTCTCTATGTGCAGCCAGCAATCCAGTCTCTTTTTTTCTCACTTTATCTTCTTTAAGACACTCCTCTCCCGTCCTCTCAGCAGCCTGTAGACCCTTTTCTACTTGTTTTATTGCAGCAGCCAATCACTGTCCTTTCAGGATTGACCCAGAACCAGTCAAGATAGCTGCCCCCTGCACTGGGGAAACTCCATATACGAGCACTGCAAAGTTTCTCCATAAAAATGGCTGCTGCACTTCTGCACTAGTACATATTCAGTTTAACCCTGTCCACACTGCATAAAGATAATATATCAGCAACAAAGTAAGAAGTTCCACAGCAGTTATTAGCTATGGTCCAGATTACACTTGGATAAGATGAGCTAATAAGAGTCATGTTCCAAAGATACAGTTTTGAAGAACAATTGATTCCATGGTGTGTAATTTATTGTTTAGTTAAAGCAGTGTTTCCCTGAGTGTAGGACACATACCAGTGGAGGTAAAAAATCCAAATTGTGCATGGTCTATCCCCATAAGATTTTCAAGCACTGTGATGAAGAGTATATGTAGGCATATTCTTCCTTCACTGTCTGACAGCCATTGCTTTGAAAGTATATGCTCATTCAAATGCCATCTACCACCAAACACAAGAGAGCAGTAAGATGGGTTAAACCACACACCACAATTGTTGTATTCAATTAGGGTTATAGCCAGTTTGGAGACACCTGTGTACTAATAAGATGCAGGCTGCTATTGCAGCATAATAGCCATGAGTGGCTGAGCACACAAAAGAATGGGACCTGCACCTGAGACCTAATGGAACAGGAGGGAGATGGAGCTGAAACATCCAGCTGTCTGAATGAAGATAAGCGATATATATATAACAAGCTGGGAAATTATAATAGCAACAAGATTACAGGGGTTACTCAGGCATTCCAAAAACTCTGAGAGTGTTACAAGAATATTGAAAGTTTGGGGAACACAAACTTATAACATCCAGTATATTTCAACAAAGAACTAAATAGAATCTGCCATGATGTCAGGAATATTGTGCCAACTGTCAGGCTAATGCACGTGTGCATAAGTGTGCAAATTTGCGTGCATAGATCCCTAAGTACGCAAGCGATGTTGCTCATGCACACTTTATAGCATAGGCCCAGATGTGCGGGCATGTCTACTGGCACCAAGTGGGATATTCAAATCCAAGCTCTGCACTGGATCATTGTTGAATGGTCTTTCAGTCTTTGCTCCTTTGTTTCTGATCCTGATATTCATACTGGCCTTTTTATTGACCTGGCTTCTGCCAGATGGGCTTTTGGATTGCCTATATTTGCTGCCTCTCTGGGTTACCAACCTTGGCCTAGACTTTTGACCAAGAGTCTGCCCATTGCCTTTGTAACACACTGCCTGCACATTGACAATCTCTGCTTGCATCCCACTCTGACCCGGCCTACAATTTGGAGCCTTCTCGCTCAGCTGTTACTGAACCAGGCTTGTGATATGACTCCACTTTTAGTTGAATTTGGTGTATCCACAATGTACTACCAGCTATACCCCTGCTCGCCTGACACCAGTGCGCTCAAGTCCCAGCCTGCATTGTCAGCGCCCTTGCACTTGTGCTTTTCCATCACCCCTACAAAGCCTGCCTCAACTTCCAGGGATGCTCAGATGAGCACCCTCTGCAAGAGGCCATCCTCATCATCTCATGCTCCACATACAGGGATGTGACACATACCAAACAGGTGCTGTGTAGTTCACTAATATACAGGCGTACCTTGGTTTACGAACGCCTCGGTTAACGGAATTTTCTGTTTATGAATGAAAATCCATTGAAAATAATGCCTCAGTTTACAAATTTTTTTTGCAATATGAAGCATTTACAGCTCCGGCCCCCATGCCTTTAACCACCTCCTGCCCGCCATATAGTAATATGAAGGGCGCAAGGTGGTTCTCTCGTTCTGGGAGGACGTCATATGACGTCCTCCCATTTTCACTGCGCATGCGCGGCTCAGGGAGCGTGCAGCACGGTGATCGGCATTGCGCTGTGTCCATCGGACACAGCGGATCACCGATCACGGAAAGAGCTGAAGATGTCAAGTGATCAGCTGTGTCCAATCACAGCTGATCACATGTAAACAGGGAAATGCCGGTCATCGGCATTTCTCTCCTCTCGAGCTGTCACACTGACAGCTCGAGAGGAGAGGAGAGCAGGTAATAGGCTTTCCGTGGAGGGGACATGTACACTGATCATCAGGGCACTGATGATCAGTGTGCCCTGATGATCAGTGTAGCCCCAGCAGTGCCTCATGCCAGTGCCTCATGCCATGCCTCATGCCAGTGCCCATCAGTGCCACATCAGTGCCTACCAGTGCACATCAATGCCACATATCAGTGCCCATCTGAGCTGCCTTTCAGTGCCACCTATCAATGCCAATCAGTGCCACCTATCAGTGCTGCCAATCAGTGCCAGTCAGTGCCGCCTATCAGTGCCAGTCAGTGCCGCCTATCAGTGCTAGTCATTGCTGCCTATCAGTGCGCATCAGTGCCGCCTATCAGTGCCAGTCAGTGCCACCTATTAGTGCCAGTCAGTGCCGCCTATCAGTGTTGCCTATCAGTGCCATATATCAGTGCCATGTATCAGTGCTGCCTTTCAGTGCCCATCAGTGACACCTGTCAATGCCCATCAGTGCCACCTACCAGTGCCTCCTCATCAGTGCCCATCAATGCCACCTATCAGTGTCCATCAGTGCAGCCTATCAGTACCCATCAGTGCAGCCTCATTAGCACACATCATGAAGGAGAAAAATCACTTATTTACAAAATTTTATAACAAAAACTAAAACTTTTTTTTTCAAACTTTTCAGTGGTTTTTGGTTTAAGAAGAAATAAAAAACCCAGAGGTGATTAAATACCACAAAGGAAAGCTCTATCTGTCACAAAAAAAATTATAAAAATTTCATATGGGTACAGTGTTGTTTGACTGCGCAATTGTCATTCAAAGTGTGACAGCACTGAAAGCTGGAAATTGGCCTGGGCAGGAAGGGGGTATAAGTGCCCGTAGGCTAGTGGTTAAAGTGCACTTTATAAAGAGTTTTGAACAGATAAGTCTTTTTTTTACTTTTTTTTTTATTTTCTGACCTCCGGTATAGATTAATTGGGTTTCAATGTATTTATTAATTTTTTTAATCATGTCCCTGTACAGTATTTATGCCTTTAAAGTGCACTTTATAAAGAGTTTTGAACAGATAAGACTTTTTTTTTAACTTTTTTCTGACCTCTGGAATGGATTAATTGATTTTCAGTGCATTTACAAATTAATTTTTAATCATGTCCCTGTACAGTATTTATGCCTTTAAAGTGCACTTTATAAAGCGTTTTGAACAGGTAAAAGACTTTTGTTTTACTTTTTTCTGACCTCCGGAACGGATTAATTGGGTTTTCAGTGCATTACTATGGGAAACCACGTTTCGGTTTACGAATTTTTCGCAATACGAAACTTTCCGCAGAATGCATTAAATTCATAAACCAAGGTATCCCTGTATATACAGCATATCTTATAAGCAGTAAACCTTTTAGCACAAGGGGCACTGATTTGTGACACCTAATCTTTATATGCCAGTGACCTACTAAATCAGACCATTAACCCTCCTGATGAATGTTATGGTAACTTGTTAAAATTAAAATGAATAAGCTCAGTAGGGCAAAGGCATCAGGGAAAATGGGATTAGAAATTGATTTTAAAATAAACAGTGTAGTATCATTTTCAGTAGTGCTTTATATTCTTGCCAGACAAGCAATGCATATGGAATAGGGCCAGCCTCTGTCAATGAGAACAATAGAACTTAACTAACAGAATATTCCAACTGCCGTGCAGTTTATTAGTGGCAAATTAAATTTTAAGAGCAAGGTGGAGATACTAAATTTGGAATGAATGCTTTGTACATATAGTACTTTTTGCTTGCTGTAAAAAAATGATCCCTGTTGCAAAAGGATTTCCCCAAAGGAGACTGTGTCGGTTGTTCTGCTGTAAATCACTGAATTTGCTGTATAGAAAAAAGTGTGTATAATGTAGAAGTTCTCTTCATTACTATGCAACTTGCTCACCACAATATGCTGTTGCTCAGCCCATAATTATTAAAAAGGACATAACTTATTTCATTAATACATTAAATTAGATTATATGTTTTTCGCACAACCTGACAGTGAAAAGTACACTTAAACGTCTACCTCCCCACAAACAGTTACTCATCTTTGCTGCCCCTACCCCCACCTTCACTCCATTCCTTTCTCAGGGTCCTTGGAACTATTTGGTGCTTCCAGGTATTGGGAAGTAATTTAATCTTCCTCCCAGAAGGCAACATTTACGGCTAAATTACCAATTATCAGGCCTGAACACTGTGATGAAGGGGAAAGGTCCTTAAGACCCTCATCATGGCATTGCAAATCCTAATGCACTTGTTTAAAACATAAAGGTACATATTTACAAAATTGAAGACCTAAATATAATTAGAATAGAGTGGAATTAATGCAGAAAAAATGTGCCCAAAGTGCCATTAAATCAACTATATCACTTAAATATACAAATGTAATAAAATGTTCCTGCAATAGAAGTCCCTCAATACTAACCTCTCTGGCAGGCAGCCAACACTGTCACCCCCATTGTGTATATTGGATCTGTCTGCAGTCCCTACATCATTCCTGAAAACAATAGTGATGTAGAGACCACTGGGAGAAACTAGTGGCCACAGTGGGGTGGGGGACAAGGAACCGACACATCCAAAAGTGTGCCAAATGAGGAATTTGTGCCAGAGGCTTGAAGACAGTAGAGTATTGAGAGGCTTCTTTTGTAACTTGATTTAAGTACAAAGTTGCATAGTTCAGCATTGAATTTATTTTTCAATTCTTACCTAAATGTTTGAAAACAGTGCAAAAATACCAAAAGAAAACAGTGCAACTCCTCTCCTTAACAATATGAGCCCATGCTAGTCATACAGGCTAATTATCCCAAGGCTCAAGGATAATGAATGTGCAGGTTTCCCACCATACCGACAGTAACCTATATGATTTGCAGCACAATATTTTTTATTAACTGCCTGTATTTCCTATACAGCCTACATTTACTCTACCATATATTAGTCAGATTTCATATTCAAACCCTGCTCAGATCAGACCAGTAACACCAATGACAGAGTACACTATAAGAAATGTGGTCCTGTGATCTGTGATGCAGTATCGTATTTCTGAGCGATAGTATTAGCCATATTAGATAGACCATATAGAAATAAACTGCTCCTGTATTGCAGTTATGTGAAAATTAGCAGTAGACTGTAGCATCAGTTTATTTAAGAATATACCAAGCCAAACATTCATATTCCTGATATGCGCCTGCTGCACCATTTACTTGTATGAAAAAGCATTCTGCTCCCTTTGTATTGCTTCCTTTGTGTGAAATACCAGGCGTAATTGCCAGTCCCTCTGCTTTCCTATTAAAAAACTAACCACTCTAGGCATGGGAGCATAGGTTCTAGCTGTGCTGAGAACTCAGCCTGCTCTCCTCCAATGATCAGACTTTTGCTGACATGCCCCCCCTGCTCAGCCTTTCACTGGGAAGACTAGTGCTCTGCTGTTTCTCATCACCCACCTCTCTGAGCTGAGCTGAGAACAGAGGATATGTGATCACTTATAAAAAAGGGAAAAATATATTTACATATTTTTTAATATGTTTGGCCTTTCATTTCTATTTTAAACTAAATGAGTTGTTTTACAAGGTGAGGGTTTACATATACTTTAAGCAGGAACTATGCATTTGCATTGGTTGTACTTGTTTTCCCCTCTCCTTTTATCACTAAAGAACCATTAAGGAACACTTGACTAATATTTCTTTCATTGTATCGTAATTTTGGTACAACAGACAGGTCTGCTAAGAGGTCTGGTTCTAGTGGATGTTTTAAAGGATGAAGAAATGTGATTTGGGACCAGAGCCTGGAAAACATGAGCTATATGATTGGGCAGTTATATGCAAATTTCAAATAAGGATTGTCAGCTCAACACTGTATAAAGAAAGGTCCAGGTTAAGTATTAAACCTCAACCAGGGTGCCCAGACACCCTGGGGTGCCTTGAGGTTTCTTCAGGGGTGCCTTGGCAAATGTCTAAAAATTGCCCAAAACCTAAATACAAGGAAGCGGGTGGAACAAGACTGCCTTTTAGTTACACAAAGCCATGGGTTTCTACTGTGCACCATTACGACCTTCTAGTCACTGGTGTCCTGACAACCAATGACATTATCGGTTGATAAGAAGGATGTCAGCTGCCTGCACAGCATCCTGGTTTGACCCTCCCCTGCCCCTCTCCATCAGTGTTGGGGTCACATTAGCTCAGTGATGGAGAAAAACTGACAAGAAGAGAAACATTGGAAGACTACTCAGTACCAGTGTGCAAAAGTGTATTTGTTTTGAAAGAAAAGTGTTGGGTGTCCTGCATGTGTGGATGTTGCTGCATTATATAAAACTATTAGAATAATTTTTCACAGTGTAGAATGGGGTGACCTTTTAAAATGATGGACAGTCTTGAGGCACCCTATTTTAGAATGGGGTGCCTCAAGACTGTCCATAATTTTAAAGGGTGCCTTGACTGAAAAAAGTTTGAGAAACACTGGCTTATGGTATCCTGGTGACTTCTTTTAACAACATTAACATCATTAGACAACCTGGATTCGTTTCCTACTGAACTGTATTTGGTCTGTTACAAGGTTTGTTGGTATGCATGGTCTTTTGTGAGATTACATGCTCACTAATCTGCTATGAAAGATATACAGTAAAGGGGAAAATGTATAAAGATTGACAAAATAGTTATATTTGTTGTGCTGCAATTTACCTTGTTCATCTAATAAAGGTTGACAAGTTAAAAAGTGAAAATTGGCAAAACTACCTTTCATCATGATAATAACATAGTGACAATGCCAGGAAAAAACAGATAGCTGCAACATTTTAAGCTGATAAAGAAATTACATTGAAAAGGCTAAAGCACAACAATATAAGAAAGCCATTTACAACATATTACACACTACCATTTTTCATGCTACATCTAATCAAATCTAATAAGAGAGCTGCTTATATTGCATAGGAGCTCCAGGCTTTAGATCTCTAAACTGCAATAACACCCTCCACACTTAGTTGCACTTATTGCTGAATGAAATAGAGAACCTGCTTTGTGCTATGATTAAAGTATTTATATTATTATATATAAAGGTTAACTCCACATTCATGGAAAAAAACAGCAAATAAACAAATATAAAATACAATTGCCACACAGGAATGTTGTAATTTAGTGTTATTAAAAATTTCCTGTCCTTTTCAGTTTTTAGTGCAACATGGCAACTGTTGGTGTGCAGAAATCCCCATAAAATGTAATTTCCTCCTTGTTTGATTGGCTCAATGGTTATAGTTAAGTCTGCACTAATGCAGGCCTCACATGGTTCAAATTCTGAACAAATTTTCTTTAGAAAGTTGGAAAATTTGTGCATTTTGTAATCC